TAATACGGAATATTTTCGACAGGATGCTTGCAGATAAATCCGGACTCCATGATGCTGTTTTGAACAATGACCCGGAAGCTGTGAATAAGTTGCTGGGGGAGGAAACAGATGTGAACAGTTTAGACAAGGGTGGTAGAACTGCGTTGCATTTGGCAGCTTCGTATAATAGCATAATTATAGAAAAACTGTTGTCAGTCACAGGTGTTGATACTAACATATCAGATGGAGTGCTTAAGTGGACACCGCTGAGGTACGCTGCCAAAACGAGATCATGGATGGCTGTGGACAGCTTGTTACAGGGTGGCGCTGACGATATTGTGCTTAAAGTGTTTTACCAGGACCAGGAGTGGAGACGGGCAGCACTATGGGAATGTGCACAGAAGGGACACAGAAACCTGTTGGAGTTCATAATGAATTCCGGATTTGATGTTAATGACGTTGTATCGCATCCTGAATATAATCATCGTAAATTACCTCTTCTTCATATAGCCTCACTGTATAGCCAAGAGGAAGTTGTAAGACTTCTTATTGAAAGGGGCGTTGATATTAATGTTCGCAGCTTCGACAATGAAACTGCTCTTCACTTCGCTGCTCAACGTGGTAATGTAGAGATTATGACGTTATTAGTAGATGCAGGAATGTCTGTCAACGAGACGAGTACAGGCGACGAAACTCCGCTTCACGTCGCAGCTCGCCATGGTAATCTGAGAGCAACAGAATTTCTAGTCGAAAGAGGCGCTGATTTAGAGATAGCTGACACAATTGGCCGGACTCCGCTGATGTTGGCTGTATCTCGTGGCAATGTAGAAGTAGTTCGTTATCTTACAATGAAGGGAGCAGACGTAAATTCTTGCACCGATGATGTTATCGCTTTGCTCTTGGCAACTGACGGGGCACATTTGGACGTGATGGATTTCTTACGTTTACAGGGCGCGGATTTTAATGGCAGCAATGTTGAATGAGGTACAATTCCATTAAAACTTGCAATTGTGAAGCACAACTTTTAGACAGTGAAGTACTTGATAGAAAGAGGCGCTCATGTCAATTTCTGTAGTCGTGATATCTGCAGATCATCAACTGAATTCGCAATGCATTCGGTGGAGAAAGGTGCAGATATAAATAT